CAGAACACCGACACTCGCGCCAATTTATATAACTTCATTCTCTGAAATATCTAGACCATGAATTGAATCCGGGACCTCATTTACGTAAAGCAACGTGCCCACCACTGCCCCACTGCGGAACAAACGATTGTTATAATGGTTTAGGGGATTTTAAAAGAAAAAATATCCTTTTTAGATAGAATGGTAATAGTATATAAATAAATACTATAGGATACGTGTTGATGCCTACGGTATCAATGCGTCCGTACTCCGTAATTTTACTAGCATATCCCAGTTTTCAAATCGAAACATGGCTATGTAACTATAGCTATTTCTCTGAATAAACCCAAGTAGGACAAAAGTACTCATACATATATTTGGGTTTTGAATAAATAGTTACACAATATCTTTTCGTTTCATTGTTTTTTTCTAATGGATAAACTCAAAAACTACTCAACTGATCATTTAACCTATAGAAATCTGCATTATCATCGAGTAATAAACCCGTTAGAATCCAGGTCGGGTCGCTATTTTTTAATATTATGGTTTTATTTAATTATATAATCTCATATTGTTAGTTTATTAGGTATTTTTATTCAAAATAATAAATAATTTATACCAAAAACATGTCGTACGATATCTGACAGTGGCGATCGTGTGGTCAATTTGATGTATGCACATAATTATGCTTTGGAAAAGGTTTAGTATTATGTCCTTTTAAGCAGCGCTTTTTCTTTTGAGCAATCTTTATTGTTGTATATCGTTTGTAGATGTATTATAAGTATTTTTGTTTATATTTTATTATTATTATATGTAAGTATATTATTATTTATACTGCATTTAAATTTATCTTTAATCTCTTTTTATTATTTATCTATTGTTATGTCTTGACCAGACGCAACTGTAATTGTTTCTATTCATCCTGAGGTTGCCTGGAAGAGATCGCTATTAAGCGATATGATCGTCCAATGTTGCCTCTTTAGATTGCTTCTTACAATTAAGATTTTGGTTGTAAACATATTTTTAACTCATGTAATTTGTACCATTCTTTAAGGTGAACAGATAAAGATATTTTTAATTATTTATTCATTCATTTATCCTTGATATTTATTGTATATATTTATTCAAGGATGGGATATGGGAATAAAATTACAGGATATAGAGGCATAATACCTTAGTCCTCAAAAATGGCAACGCATGAAGGGCATCATGTGTAGTATAGTTATATTCGTGGTAGTATTTATTAACCATCAGGTGAGTTGTCAGCATACCCTTCTAAGTTATATAAAAAAAAATTAAGAAAAAATATTTTTAATTTATGTGAATAAATTTTAAATCCGAGCCTGTCTCTAGGACTATTTATATATGGCAGCGACTGGCCGCGATATATTTGGGCAGTTCGTTCCGTTAAACCACGAATGGTATATACATACATATATATTTCATTCCTGATGTAAAATACTGATTATACTACATTCTGACCGCTATAATGAGAGGTGAACATGCGAAATAATTATACTCGTATACTCCAATTAGGATCACTTTTATAATTATTACTAGCTTTTACTCGCGACTTCTTCCATGCGACCAGGGTATGTTTACTCATCGTTATACGTTCTTTATCTCATATAGTATGTGTATACCAAATTTCATAGTGTTTGGTTAAACTGTTAAGGTGTTATAAGTTAACAAACAAACAAACTCACATTGATAATATTAATAAAATGAATTAAACTTTATTAATTTAATATATGTACTTAATACGTATTAATACTTACTTCGTATACTTACTTTATGTAGGTATCTGTTATTAATAGGATATTGTTTTTTTTTTTTAATGGAAGATAATGACATGGCTACCTCGCCCGCGCTATCGGTATACACTGGCGAGGCACCAGTGAGGCAATATAGGTGAGGATGAAAGCATATTTCTGGAACAGAACATGGTGACAATTCCTTTTCTAATACATTGATTAATTCTTCAGAAAGTCGGTAATGATGAATATAATCCACACCACGTAATTGTTGATTGTCGCCATTTCTTACGATCATTTTCTATTTTAGCTTCATCCAACAAATGGATCATTACACATAAACGAGCAGCCATCATTTTTAAACACAAATTGATAATTTTAATACAATTAAATATAATAGAGTTCGAGAAACAAATAAATATATTAGTTGAATACTATGCAAACAGCGTAGAAAAAAAAAGCTTTTGATTTTGACATAAGAAATCGAGGCTGTAGACTAGGCTGTAGGCGAAGGCGAGGCTGATTTTTGTTAGTGAATACCAAATACTATGACAAAATGTCAAATGGCACAGCTTTGAGTAGTTCCCGTTTACGCCGCTCGTCTTTGAGCGCTGGTGTCGTGTGTTAGTAATTATGAATGAATGAATGAATGAATGAATGAATGAATGAATGAATGAGTGGACGAATGAATGAATAAATGAATGAATTATTACAAAAAAAAGTGAATACCATTTCAATATTTCATCTCTGCGTCAAGACTGATGTCTAGGCTGTTTGCTTAGAGAATAGCACTGCAGTTGGCCCGTCACGACGAATTTGAAGTCGATCTGACAAATAATTTTTAAGCCATTGTAAGCAATATATCCATACTAACGTTAACACTAACGTTAGTTAGTAACGTTAGTGACGTTACATAGTAACGTCCCCATTACTAACAAACCTTCTCCCTCCTCCCCCATAGGATGTCGTAAAAGTCAACAAAAAATCACAAAAAAAAATATTATTATCCTTGGCTATAACTCCGTATAAGCAAAAGAATCCGTTCTTATTGTATGGGTATGAACAATATGTTGGAATAACACATATCTTTTTTAACCCTAAATTATGCGCGTAAAGCCGTAGACAAGCGGTTGTAGATATTACAGCGACTAATAAGAACAGACAAACTATTTGTACTTTACTATATACCCGATCGAAGAAAACAAATTAAGCTTGTTTTAATTACACACCATGTTCGCGTTATTATCTAAACAATAAACATAGTAATAGCTCTCTACTAAGAAACATAATAAACAAGAGTAGAGGTTTAGACAGCAGCGATTAGCATTACAAAGGGAATATTTACAAATTCAAGACACGAATCGGTTTATAATGACATTTACTACCAACGCAAAATAAAATGGCTCAAAAAATATCTTTTACCTTTTACCTATTCGGAGCGGCTAGATATTTTCTTACCTAAAAATAGGAGAGAAAATATGACTTTATATAAGCTTAAATTAATAAGATGTAGTGTTGTATTAAAGTCTATTGTGAATTACTATAACAGCCTAAAGCATTCCTCTATGTATTATTTCTTTTTTAATTTCTGATTTTTATAAAAGGAACGCACTCTATTCAGCCTAGTTAATTGCGCGCCAAATTCGAAAATTCGATTCGCATAAATAAAACAATTTTCATTCCAAATTCAAATTTTCTTAATAGATATAAAAAAAAGATGTGAAGATTTTGTTTCTTCTTTTGGGAGATGCGAGTACAGATCGTTCAAAAATAACTTGTAAAGCAGGCCCACTTCACTTTGAACAAAAAAAGTTTATGTAAATCTATGTAGCCAGTTCATTGAGTTTGGAAAGTTTTCAGTATAAAGTCAATAAATCTTTTAGAATATCGAGATTTTGGGTAAAGCGAGATTATAAATAACTGTACAACACAGTTAATATATTTCGTAGTGACGACTAAGGGAACTTAATTTATGGTCGAGGGATGAGCAGCAGCGTCCCTCTTAAAATATCACCAAAAGCAAAACTATGGTTGCCAACCCGTCTGTCAAGCGTGGCTTTCAGTTTTTCCGAGTATATCGTAAAGACGTTTAATTTGACTAAAGAAAAACTACGACAAAAGTTTAGAATATTGATAAAAGTATTATGTCTTTATATAAGACTATAATTTATTTGTATCACACATTTTATTGAACTCTGTTTACCCATTTACACACGATTAAAGTGCTAAAATATCTTTCCAAACGATTATAATAATAGCTGAAAGACGATGTAGTGACAAAAATTGAAAAAGGAATGTTGCGTTGGTTTGGTCATTTGGAGAGGATGGATGAAAGAAGAATTACGAAAGAGATTTATCGATCAAGAATAAATGAAGATGTCGGTAGGGGCCGCCCTAGACGGACGTATGTCGACCAAATAGGCGACGTGCTGAAGAAGGGCCAAATTAAAAGTACCCGTAACCGACGAGCGTGTATGACAAGATTGATGAATGTGGAAGCGAAAGAGGTTTGTTTGAATCGAAGCATTTGGCGTTCCATTGTTTCTGCCTACCCTAATGGGAGACAGGCGTGACAGATATGTATGTATGTATGTATAATAATAGCATAATATCAAAGTTCTGCTACTTACCTATCTACATAAACTGAGAACCGTATTACCTCAATACTAAAAGAGCATATGGATTTATTTGCTTCGCATGGATACATAGATTATTAAGATATAATATATGGCCTATATTACTCGCTGTTCATGTAATTTTCTATAGGTTAAATAATTTTTAAAATCGGTTTAGTAGTTTCTAAGTTTATCTACTACAAACAAATAATTGAATCTTTTCTCTTTATAATAATAGTATAGGTTTAAATAAGTATTTCTGATAATCATAAATTCTAATAAATATTAATTTTTCATAGACTTAAAAAGCAAAAAAAATGGTGATTACAACTTGCTATTTTGAGACGATTACATTCTTTAGTTTGCAATAATCAGTCAGTAGTGTAACCTAGTATCAAATAGGAGAAAGATTGTTTTGCTATACAAAAACAGATGTCGCTATTTATAACACGATCTCTGAACGTGATATGAAGATATTTTTTTATTATTTACATTATTTTTCTAACTTTACATAAAATTAATTGAAATTAGTATAATTTTATGTAAATTTAACATTTAAATCTAGCCCAAAAACAAAACACCGCAATATTTTTAATCTGTATCTAGCAACTCTAAATTCATCGAATAAAAAGGAACGTCAGTTTGCGCCAAACTGTTGGCGCGTACAGTAATGTGTCATAGTGATATTTTGATGTAAGCGGGTTTTCAAATAATAAACTACGTGTAAACATTGTATGGCTTCGTTTCCGTTTATCAACTTATTACAATTTTAATACATAATTGTTCTTGGATATAAACTATCAATATCGAGGTAAGTGATTTTTTGAGCTAGATACTTGCCTAGTATTAAAATAATTATCCATTGTTACTTTTAATGGGATAATTTTGTATGCAGATCATATTAACGTAAAATGACTTGTAGAATTATATATTTTTATTACAAATATGTATACAATTTTCAACAAATTCATTAATATCATTTGTTTTCATTGTTTGAATTATATTATCTAATTTATTATTGCGAAGTCATATAGGCTTTTGATTTTTTTATGCCATTATTTTATTTCTATTATGTAGTTTTTACATCTTTTTATTAAAATGCAATAAATATTCTGTTGTAATCAATCAGATATTTCTTTAATTACCGGGTCCTTAAATTTATATCACAGGCTACCTACTTCATATGTTTACGAATATGTGGTGCCATCTAGTCTCTAATAGCAAAAGTCTGTTACAAACGAGGTGTCTGTTCTTTGCTTCAAAATAATATAGATGTCTCTGAATTCCGAATACACAGCAGTTGTTTGTAATGATATCATTAAATAAATATGAAACAATGAAACGTGTTGCATAATTTTCTCTAATAAACATAATAAATCTATAACTATAATTTTTAAAATAAAATTACTTTATATTTTGTTGCTCCGGTTTTTAAAAGCCTGAAAATTGTAAAAAAATATTGGAATAACGTAATTTTTAATGAGTAATAATGGAATGGGAACCCGTCTGCATTATCGCTTTACGTGCTCACCTATGAGGACGAAAGCAGGTTAGATAGTCCATCGCCGTTCAATATATCCCAGCAGGTCAACCTCCACGCGGCCCTCCTGGAAACCATAATAGTCAACTGTTGGTAAATTAATCATAATGGGCTGACTGACCTGCCTTCTCCCTCCCTCCCTCATCTAACACCGATCACTGGTGCCCCGACAGCGTATACTGATAACGTAGGCGGGATCACTATTCCATTTCTATCCCATTAAAAATATCTAAAAAAAAGGAATGGGAGAACCTGGGCTGACTAAAGAAAAAAAACAATGTATCTGCAGGACAAAATAACAAGAAATATACTCGCAACCATCCGTAATAGAACAGTCGGAGGCATTTGTCGACTGTTGCTGTGAATATAACATTCGACATGACCTTTTATCGAGCATATTAGAATCCAAATAGGGGGGGGAGGGCTTGTTAGTAATAGGGTCTAACTGACCCATTGCTGGTAATACACCCTATCAGGTCGATCTCCACGTGGTTTCCCCCTGGAAACCATCATGATGAATTCTAGTAGAATTCGTCATGATGGGCTAACTGACCTGCTTTCATGATCATCTATCATCGCTCACTGGTGCCCCGCCAGCGTATACCAATAGCGCAGGCGTGGTTACTATTACATTATAACTCATTAAAAAAAATCCAAATACGGAGCGGACGAACCTACCGCCGTAAAGAACAGAGCGATATTGTACCTGAGAATAATAGAACACAAAACTGATTCATATGCGAGGATGTGGACGGTGCCGTACAGTAAAAATAACACTATGCCCAAGGACTATGGTTCTTCGACCAACCAAAACTAATTCAAACTGAGGACAAAAATTTACGGAAATATGAAATAAACCAATAAGATCGTTACGACAAATGGGAAAAAGTGCAAATGGGAAAATGAGTAATGAAGGGTACATGGTAGTAAAGAGTGAGGAAAACTTACAAATTTGATTTTATGCAAATTTTATGTTAGGAAGTTCAACATCAACCGACATGATATAGTGAACAAGACTGATTCAGTACAAGATCGGGAATATATGTATAACAATTTGAGAGGGATATTTCGTATAGGCTATTAAATTTCTTACCTGGATCTGTTTCTTTTGACAAAGACTAACAATATCGAAGGAAATTAAATTATAAAAAAAACCTGGAAATTAATATCCGGGAACAAGCTGCACTCCTACGGGAGGCTAAAAAAAACCTACCGCCGTCGATTATCATTAGTCTTTTCTATCATCATATAAATTCAACAAAAAAAATGACATCATATTCGAATTAAAGTAACAAACGCATCCCCGTTACCGATATTAATCATATTATCAAAACGCAATATAATTAATCTGCAATTATACAAAAACGTAAAAACGTCAAACGATTTTTAATTCTATTTCTATTTCTATCATCGTACGGCTCGCCATCGACAGGGAGTTCACCCTCATAACTTACAGCCTAAATGGTCGCGTACAACGCGGTTTCTGAGATGCTTTCTCCCACGAACACTCAGGTTATGGAATGAGCTCCCTGCCGAGGTTTTCCCAAGAGACTACAGCATGGGGTTCTTCAAAAGGGGGTAAAGAGGTTTCTTCAGGGTCGGCAACGCGCGCGTAATACCTCTGGTATTGCAGGCGTTCATAGGCTACGGTAACCGCTTACCATCAGGTGGGCCGTATGCTTGTTTGCCACCTCAGTGGTATAAATAAAAATAAAAAAATAAAAATTCTCAATAAACTCTTGAGTACACCAAACTAATTGCTTGTTACTTGTACAACGCTTAGCTATAACAAAAAAAAAACTTTGTAAATTTCTTTTTGTCTAAAGCTCAAAGCGAACACGAGATTACTCTTGGAGATAAATTAATTTTTCCATCTGATGAAAAATAAACAATTATTTAGCAATCTAAGTGTGTTTTCTTCGAGAATTGTAATAAAAGCTATGCTAGAATTTCGCCTATCTACTTGCTACATAGGCTGTTATAATTTTACTTTAAACCAGCTTCATAAAGATTTCTTATTACTATTAGGCATGTTACTTGAATTATTTAGCTATTGTAAATTGATTTTAACGATTTCTTTTAATTAGAAAGATATATTTTTGAACTCATACTAGTTTGGTGAAAATTAAAAATGGTTGTTAAATTATAAAATTTATTATAATATACTAATATGTAAATATAATTAATAGTTCTTGTGTTCTAATATTGTTTTTCTGTTGTTACAGCAATTTAGCTTCGATTAGAAAAAATGGTAAGTTTGATAATATTACTACGTATAAATTAGTACGTATGGTTTCTAGCTAAAGGTATTATGTACATTTCTATGTGTCATAATAGAATACATAGAATTGTACTGGACACTGCAAAGACGAGGCTAAGATCAAATACAATCTAGTCCTCTGCGAACAAAATGAGGGGCATTATATAGCTCATGCACAATTATTTATGTTTATCTAAAGTTTAAATTAACTTAATTAACAATTTCCACTACAAAACTTTAAATTCATAATTCTCACATGAGTTTAATAAAACTTACCTATTTTACTTTTACCAAAGAGAGACTTTTGTACAAAAGTCATGTCCTGTCCCATTCGTGTTTCTACCGTGAGGCAGTTGTGTTTACATAGCTGTGTTTCAGTTTGAAGGATGAAATATGGCAATGAATTTACAGGGTACAGAAGTATAACACCGGAGTCCTCAGGAATGGCAACGCATGGGGGGTCTCATAGGCAAAACAGTTAACTCTGTTATGTCCATGGTACTACTCATGTCTATAGGCGTCGGTTACAACTTTCCATCAGGTGGGCCGTCAGCTTGTTTGCCATTCTAAGTTGCATTAAAAAAAACATGTTATTTCGATAAGCGATTCTAAATCAAATTAAAAATATATTTATTTCACAGTACGGCTTCGTAAATTACGCCCTTGAACTTTTGGTGACTGATTCCTTTGGTAAGGAGACATGGGAGACGATCAAGTAAGTAAATATTTAATACTATTAATATTATTTTCATTTTTTTTTTTATTTTATACAAAAATCCACAGCTCCTAAAAAATAACTTACATGCCAAGTCTCTTATGAATACAGCCAATAACGGATTTTATTTATACAAACAAAAATTTTGATTCCAAAGCGAGGTAGGTAGTGGGTGTATGCAAGTAATATAAGCACATGTATGAAAGAAACCATATATAATAGTGAGTGTCCATAAAGTTAGATTAAATTGATATATAAAATAATTAAAATCTATGTTGCTAAAGTTCAGATATTGACAGCAATGATTAAATAATACAAATTCGTGGTCACCAATTGTAAGGAGGGTTAAATGTATGCGTGGGTGTATGTGTAGTGTAAATCATAAATGCGAAAGTTTGTAACGATAGATTTGTTGCTCTTTTACGCAAAAACTGCTGAACAGATTTTAATGAAATTTAGTACACGGGCAGATTATATCCTAATTTAGCATAAATAATACTTATTAATATAGATGATATTAGAATTATGATAAAAAATAATTAAATTAATTATTTCCTATCATCATTCGTATAACAGCTCCCCCCCCCCCCCTCCTAAACAAGTGGCATAGTAATCTATCGAAAGAAGCGTCTTGGTCAGCGTTTGTTTAATAAAAATTAGACAGATGATGTCACCTCATTCTGTCTTATGGATCCTCTAGCGATGACGATTCTATCGATGGATTCAGTTATCACTTGTCTGTGAATTTGGATTTATGTTCAAATTAAATTAATAAATACATTTTAATTATGTTTTTTACAGTTTCATCTTTCACGTTCAAATTTAATCTAAACTGTAAAATGTCTATTGCCCGTAATGAAAAAAGTTTCATTGTTGCCAACAGAGGAAAAGCAATTCTTGCACCTTAAAAGAACGTGCCTAAAGTTATACAGGCTGATGGAATAACACGTAACTTTTATTTTGTTTACAGGAAAAAAGCCGATGTATCGATGGAGGGAAGTTTCCTGGTGAGACAAATATATGAAGATGAAATAACTTATAATCTGATCACAGCTGCTGTTGAAGTTCTACGTAAGTACCTCTAAATGTCTTAACCTATTTCATGGCTCTATTCTATTCTGTTCTTATCCTTTGCTTACATTGTTTCTAATTATTATTATTACTGTATGCTTTAGTGTTATAAAGAATATTCAATATGGTATAATTGTATTTATTTATTTATATCAGTCGTAAACTGTCCATTGTGACCATTTGAGTTGTGACCATTTTGTGTTACTATAGCACACGGATGAAGGAAGGGAAAGAAAGGAGATTGTTAGTTTATATATTTTGTCTTTTTTTATTTGTGTTTTTTTTTATTTTCATTCTTTTATCTCTTTTACTGTATATTATGTGTATGTTTTTTTTTATTGTAATTTGTGTGCTGTAAGTAATGTAAATAAATTATCTATCTATCTATCTATCATTGTTGTATATAGGCCTCCCTCAAAAATGGGATTTTACCAGTAGTTGCCACGCTTGGCAGGCAGGTTGACAACCGCAATCAGGCCTTTGGCGATGTTTTAAGAGATCCCAGCATAGAATGGCCCAACCCTTCCTTTCCCGTGGGAGTCGTAAGAGTCGACTAAAGGAACTTAAAAGTCAAGGGATAGGCAACAGCGTTCTTCTTTCAACATCACTAAAGTCTAACTGTGGCAACTGCAATTGGTAATTCACCTGCCAAGCGTGGCAACTACTGGCGGAGCCCCTAATGGGGAGACCTATGTTCAGCGGTAGGTATTTAACGGTTGATATGGTAATAGATTAGTAAGGAGAATAGAAGATACTTATTGTACTTAGTTCTGTTTTTTTTACTTCTATTTATCCTTTTGGCGAAAGAAAGAAAAATTTTGGCTGAATTTAAATTTTCCTTTTTTTTTATACAACTTAGAATAGCAAACAAGCTGACGGTCCACCTGATGGAAAGTGGTAACCGTCGCCTATAGACATGAGCAGTACCATAGATATAACAGAGCATACTGTTTCACCCATGATATGCCCATGCGTTGCCATTCCTGAGGGCTCAGATGTTATTCCTTTGTACCCAGTAATTTCACGCCTTATTAGCAAAATAATTAAATCTTCTTATTCGTTTGCAGAAATACCAGCCGATTCCATTTTGGAGTTATTTGGAAAGACATTCTTTGAGTTTTGCCAAGACTCTGGATATGACAAGATTTTGCAAGTACTCGGTGCTACACCACGTGATTTTTTGCAAGTTAGTTTTTTTATAAACTTAATTCGGTTGTATTTTTTTAATATTGTTACCTCTTAACTCCGTCATTTATAAACCGATTTTGAATATTCTTTTTTTTATCTAATTTTTTTTATATACTTTCAGATTGATTGCATAGAAATTGATTAAAATCGGCTCAGTAGGTAATAAGTTTTAAATGAAAATGACTAGTTTGCCATGTTAGAAGGTGTTTTTTATGGAACAAAATTTAAACGACTATATTTGATTTACAGTACGAGACCGAGGTCAGATCTAAAGAGGTAGGAAGTATCACTTATTTTAGTACTGTTTTTCTACTTGTAGAATTTGGATGGTCTACACGACCACCTGGGTACACTGTACCCGGGAATGAGATCACCATCATTCAGGTGCACTGAAAGACCGGAAGATGGCGCCTTGGTTCTTCATTACTATTCTGACAGACCGGGATTGGAGCACATCGTCATTGGGATTGTAAAGGTATAATACCGACTAAACCGTCTTTCAAAAAAACATTCACGCTCACTTTTTTACTTTATCCGAGCAGTAAGTGCTTTATATTATTCTCAATTTCGTGTATAATATAGTATATGTCATATATGTGTAAGTATATTTGTTATTTATATATATTTATTCGTTTATATATGTAATTTTAGTATATCAATAATTACTAGTACCGCATTCGAGTATTCTGACACTTCCCTATGGTTGACTGGGAGAGAATGCTTTTAGCATTAAGTCTGCCATGTACACATATTCAATCCAAATCAATTTTTAAAAAGTTGATAAAGCAACATTTATTAAATTTTGGATTAGTCGCCTGGTAACTGCTTTTAACATAATTATATTATTATTTATATATGTTAAATATTATGTTTAATTATTAATGAAATATATTATATTATTTATGCATCATCTATATAAGTATGTATCTATATAATATAATTTTACCTTCTGCCATTAAATTGGTTACACAGGTTACACATTGCACGCGTCCGTGTAGCCTTGCTTCAGGTTGCAGCTGAAAATCAGTGCTTTGCTTTTAAGCAAAAGTATCACTGAGCTGTAGCCTTTTTGGGTCACTGCGACACACTTGGTGAAACATATCTCCAATATTAATTTTATGTTTTATATGTTGTTTTATATTTGAAAAATGTAAATAATCAAATTGTATCATTTTATTCATTAATTTACGTGTGTTAAATGGCTCAAATAAAGTGTTTATCTATCTATCTATCTATCTATCTATATTTAAACTAATAATTAAATAAAAATAAATAAATAAAATGCTCACATTCTTAATGTCATTCGTGATTATAGGAATCGGTCCCAAGGTTATCACTAGAGACAGACTTTCTGCGAAGTCATTTTTTAGATATAGCTTAGTAGTAACTAATGAACAGTGAAATTACTACATCAATATCATAAGACATTTCATTATCTTGTTAAATCAATTTTGAAAAAATAAAAAATAAACTTCTCTAAAATAAAACTCATAACTGGTAATTCTAAACTGATTTGGAAAATTATTTTTTAACTAAATTCTCATAGAAATTTTATCAAAATGGATTCAGTGGTTTAGTTTTTAGATCAATAACTGGTTTTATCAAAACTGAAATCGGTTTTTGTATGGGTCACAATTTTTTATTATTGGTCAGAACACTTCCCTTATTTAGATCTTCATAATTATCACAAGAACTGGCAACACTCGTATGTCCCGGAGTTGGCAACCCATGAATGCCTACATTCATGGGTTGTGGTAACTACAATATTTACCATAAAATGAAATATATCTTTGATTGTCATCTTTTGGTAATGATGATTACTCATGAGCACCAGCAGCACAGGTATATAGTTGGCCTTTGAATTGGATTACATTATTTTCTTAGTTGTCTTTTTTTTATACAACTTAGAATGGCAAACAAGCTAACGGCCCACCTGATGGAAAGTGGTAACCGTCGCCTATAGACATGAGCAGTACCATGGACATAACAGAGTATACTGTTTCGCCCATGATACCCCCATGCGTTGCCATTCCTGAGGACTCAGGTCTTATTCCTCCGTACCCTGTAAATTCACGCCATATCCCATCTTTTAAACCGAAACACAGCCATGTAAACACAATTGCTTCATGGTGAAAACACGAATGGGACAAAGGTACTCAAGCAATCGACTTTTGTACAAAGTCTTCCTCAGGTATTACAGTAATCTTATGTATTAATTTAATACGGGTCTATTGGTGTACCAAATATTCAAGTTATTTCAACCGTTTAAACATTACTGAGTAACAAATATTCAAACATTTTTAAAAGACATATTTGTAGATAAAATTTGTAACAATTACAGACAGTGGCCAGCAAACTTCATAATACCGAAGTGAAAGTGGAGCTGCTGAAGTCGAAGGAGGAATGCGATCACGTCCAGTTCCTCATCACGGAGACATCGACGTCTGGTCGCGTGTGTGCACCGGAGATCGCCGAGATTGAAACGTTGTCTTTAGGTACGTCAATTAACTTATATAAAACTTTGAGAATCAATTTCAATTTATATAAATAAATTATAGCATATTATATACTACAGCATGGAGTTCTTCAAAAAAAAGAGGTAAAGATGTTTCTTCAGAGTTGGAACCGCGCGTGTAATAATGCCCTGGTATTGTAGGCAGTATTATTGTAGGCAGTAACCGCTAACCATCAGGTGGGCCGTATATGCCACCTCAGTAGAATAAAAAAAAATTAAGTGGATTTATCTTTTATGACGTTTATTGATATCGATGTTTTGTAAAGAGGCAATGATTTTATTATGTTGATAGCTTACATAGACCCATTTCCCATTCGTTAACTTAAGCCCAGTTCAGACACTTAATAATTGTGATTAATTTGTTTTATAGAGCCTAAAGTGAGTCCAGCTACGTTCTGCCGTGTATTTCCCTTCCACCTGATGTTCGACCGAGAATTAAACATCGTGCAAGCGGGCCGCACCGTCTCCCGTCTGCTGCCAAGAGTCACCAGACCTGGATGCAAGATCACCGATGTTTTAGATACGGTAAGCTTGCTTATTCTAAATTGAAATATAGTCCTTATTCAACTGTAATAAGAATAATATTTTTTGAAGAAATTTATACACATTAATATTTTTTTATATTAGTATTCGATGCCACAGAACTGCACCTATCATCTATATCATTCAGTGAGTACTCCTGCAACATATTTGAGGTCGTCACTCCAACTAGTGGGGGTAATTTTATAATCGTACGAATATAGAATATATAATCGAATATAGAATCACCACTCTTGAATCTTTCTTCTTCATCTGTTGCCGATTCGAGCTATATTGTTACAGCTTGTTTTTCTATCTGTCTATCTTATAACACTATCTGTTGTTTAGCTCTTCTAAGAATATTTTCATTTTAGATTCCATTAGTTAGTGAAATTTAAACATTATTTATTTAATATATATTTTACGTAGATTCGTCCTCACCTTGAGATGACATTCGCAAACGTCTTATCCCATATCAACACTGTATACGTACTGAAAACCAAGTCAGAGGAGATGATTGTCACTGATCCGACCCATGATGAAATTGCACCGCTTAGACTGAAGGTGAGTATATGAAGCTATATTATATTACATTTAAACTACATAAAAACGATTAGCAAAATACAACAGCATTGTTGCATCTTCAACAAAAAAGCATATGAGGTGGTAAAGAAGCATACAGTCCACCTGATGGTAAGCGCTTACCGCAGCCTGTGAACACCTGCAATACCAAGGATATTACGCGTGGTTTCAGACCAATTCCTTTTTAAAAGCCAACAGCTCACCTGCAATTCTTCCGGTGTTGTGCCTATGACGATAGTCACTTACCATTACATGAGCCGATAGCTCGTTGTCTCCTATGTTAGAAAAAAAGACAGTCAAAAAGTAAACATAATATTCGCTTGGAGCAAAATTATGTAATAGAATAAAAGTTACAGTAAAAAAAAAAAATCATTATAAAGAGTAAGTTAGCATTCTATTTAAGACAGTATTCTATCTGTAAAATTAAACATTTTTAGAAGAATTTTTACCCGAAAAATTTGTGTCGAGTTACATGGCCATAGAATTTTTCTTTTATTATTTGGTGAAATACACCAAACTTTCATATATTTTTACTATAAATAAAATAGCATAGAAAGTAAGTTTTGACAAAATACAAGCGTGATAAATATGTATGTGTGTATACAAATACATATCTATATATGTGTATACACACATAGATATCTATCACGCCTGTCTTCCATTAAGGTAAGTAGAAACAACATAGAAAAAACATTAGTTAATATGACATTGGGGCATTGTTCCTAGATAGAGGCCGATTCTGAAGTGCCATTATTCTAAAGTTCTCTCTTCTATACATGTAATAAAATTATAGAGGTCAAATGTCTGTACATAAAAAAAAAACCTTAAAAACTGAGTCAGGGGAATGTTAAGAAGTGAAATGGAACATATCTAGATTTTTTCAAATATTTTGTTTCTCTTCTGTTTGTCTGTTTGTACGGACTAATCTCAGAAACTGTTGGATCAATTTAATGAAATTTTGCATGGTGGTACGTTACACCCCGGTCAACATTTTAGGTACATACTTTTAATCACGGAAAATTAAATAGTTCCCGTGGGATAGTTAAAAAAGTACAGTAACTTATACAGCTTAGTATACAACCTATTTAAGTGAAGTCATTTTGACCTAGTCCGCCAACTAATTTTTCTAGGTGTATTAAAGTTTACTAAATAAATAAATAAATTGAAATTTTAAATTTAAAGATAGGTTTTGAAAAATGGCACATCATCTTTAGCTTACATGTTACATGCCTGTAATTTTTATTTTTATTTCTAAAGTAATAATATTGGAAAACATTCATAAATTTCAGGGTCAAATGCTGTACATTCCTGAAACAGATGTAGTGGTGTTCCAGTGTTACCCCAGTGTTACAAATCTCGATGACCTCACACGGTAATTATATTATATTAAAAAAAAAAACATGTTTTAGTCTAATATATTTACAATCTATTTCCGTTATGATGAATTTAACACTCAACAAGCCCAAATTTTACAATTAAAATCCGATTTGGCAGCGTACTAATCTACCGCCATCACTCATCAGGTGATAAATTTCATACAATTTAAAGCTTTCCATCCATAGGATGAAAAATAGCAATTTCAGAAATAAAGTATAATGATCATAAGTTTACATATTAAATATTGTGTTCCTCAAAAAACAGACTTCATTTCTGACAAATCCAATTATTTTAATTTAAAAACTAAACTACTAAACCGATTTCAATAAAATTTCCATACTATTAATCTGTAAGTACCTATATCCTGTTAGACAAACAAATTATTTACCAAATCGGTTTAGAACTGACAAAGTTATGAGTTAACAAATATAAAGAATACAACCAAATTGAGCGCTTCTCTCTTTTTGAAGTCGGTTAAAATGCTACAATTCATATAATAAATGTAATAAATTAATTGGTATTATTATAATTCTCATATCGTATTCTCTACTTCCTTTTTTAAATGCTTTATAATTACAATACTGCAAACCATAGAACACCAGCTCTCGTATATGTATCCTTATAAATAATTTTTCTTTCCACTTCCCCTTGTAGTCGAGGTCTTTGCATCTCCGACATTCCTCTACACGATGCGACCCGTGACCTGGTCCTCATGTCTGAACAGTTTGAAGCCGACTACAAACTTACTCAGAACTTGGAAGTGCTAACTGATAAACTACAGCAGACATTCCGTGAACTTGATTCGGAGAAGAAGAAAACTGACCGGTAAGTTTTTCAAATAATATTAGAAAATATTAGGATAGTTGATACGATTTACTTATTATTCTTGTAAGCAAAATATAAGGTAAAAAAATGAACATGGTATAGTTATATGAGGTAAAATTTTGTATCGTCAAAAATTATGGAAATTCGTAGGAGTTTTAGCTACAAAAATGTAATATTCAATGAGTCTTACTAATACTATGAAAGTTGTATAAAAAAAAATATGATGAGAGTATGTCTGTATATTGAAGATAATAAAGAAAAATGTATACAAGGGCTCTTAATAAGAGCAATACATATTAAAATAATAATTTTACAAATTTAGCCTGTCTATCAGTCTATGTGTTTATTCCAGTATCACGCAAAAACTACTGTACCAAATTGTATGTAATTTTCACAGTTTTGTTTTTGAAGAGTTACCTAAAAACTGGCGTATGTTTTATCTTGATACGCCGTCTTCAAGGTTCATTGTCCTCCACACATAATCCTGGAATTGAAATATTGGTATTAGTTTCGCTTAAGTCTTCCGATTTATGAAAGATGATTTAGCATTTGGTGACATTTTTGTAAGACCATTTCTGGCAATTTCAAGCAAGAACTAAGAATACAACGAATCATTAGATATACTGTATTTTAACATTGTGACCACTGAGCCATTGTAGTCCCACAGGTGGTTCAAAATCTCGAAACTACAAGAAAATTCTTTTTTTTTTTTTTAATGTCTCCTCACAAACAGCTTAAATCTACATATAAGTATTTAGGATAATGCTAACAAATTTCTTGTTTTGCTTCCAGACTTCTCTATTCGGTGCTCCCGATCAGCGTGGCATCCGAGCTCCGTCACCGCCGACCTGTTCAGGCACGTCGGTATGACCCTGTCACCTTGCTTTTCAGCGGGATCGTGGGCTTTGCCAACTACTGCGCCAACAACACCGACCATAAGGGTGCCATGAAGATTGTGAGGATGCTCAACGATCTTTACACGGCGTTTGACGTCCTCACAGATCCGAAAAGAAGCCCAGATGTTTACAAGGTAATATATTAGGTAATTTATTTATCAACCAACTTCTATAAGAAGGAGATTTTCAATTCGGTTGTCTTTTTTTATGTTTGTTACTTCATAACTCTGTGAGTTCTAAACTGAAATCAAAAAAATTTTTTTTCGCTAAACTGTTATTAGGATTTGTTGGTCATTGAGACACTCTTAAATTTTGAATTTACAAGACATAATATTATCCAGGTTAAATTTTATATATGTTTATTTATTTATCTAATGATTTGATTGAAGTTAGTTAATACCGTTAGTATTCAAAATTTTATAATATTCGTACATTTGTTTGTTTGTTTGCTTGTTTGTAACACTTTATTTGACAGCAGTCTTAAATTTTAGGATACAGAGTTATGGCAGATTTATCTCATAAAACAAATGTCAGAAACGACAAACATAGTAAGTTCATAGAGATCCCATTACACATATATACAACCTCAGTATATACATATATATATACGCAAAGTTTCTTACTACATACAAAGAATCAAACGATCAGCATACTTGCCATTTCTACTTATAGAAATATTTAATTCACTACTTCATTAACTTGAATAGCTGGTTTGTGTATTTCTTGTGTGGTGATGTAGTTTTATAGTAAAAATTTCATTTATTGTAAATTATATTTATTGCTATATACAGTAAAAAATCTTATATACATATATCAATAGCTATTTACATATTTTTTTGAATTGTAACCTAATATAAAAACTATATTTACTCATATATAAATATAACATGGTTATAATTCGTTATGTGTGCCTTATTGAAATAAAAAAAAAATAACGTCTAATGCAATCCTTCTACTCATCCAGGTGGAAACAGTCGGCGACAAGTACATGGCAGTGTCGGGACTTCCTGAGTACAAAGTAGCCCACGCCAAACACATTTCGCTACTGGCTCTCGACATGATGGATTTAGCGAAAACTGTCACAGTTGATGGGGAGCCTGTTGTAAGTATACAGTGTAGATTTAAAAATTACAAAAATGCCTCATTACTAGTTGGAAGTTTTTCGTTTTTCTTAATTGAATATGCATTTGCTTCATCATCATTATTACGTCAGCCGTTAACTGTCCACTGCTGAACATAGGCTTCCGGATCCGTGGAGGGGGGAAAGGGAGAAGTTTGCCAGTAGTTGCTACGTCTGACAGATGATTCGGTAAACCCAGTTAGCTTTGGTTAATGTTTTAAGACGGGCACTGTTGCAAATTCTTCTATCATTAAATTGAAAGAGTATTAAGTTAACATTAAAAACAAATGTTATCCTTGTGTATGACAAAATTTTGCCCAATGATTAGCTGGTAGAGAATGCTATAGGGCATTAAGCTTGCCATTTGTACAAAGTTTTATTGTGCAGTAAAGAATAAATAAATAAAATATAAATAATATATAACAATTATTATAAATAATAAAATATATTAAAAGATTTACAGTTTACCTGTGATATGTGATATTTTTGATGTTAGAAACGCTATTAACGGGTACTAAATTATTATAAATAGATTTATCGAGCAAGAATCAATGGAGATGTCGGTAGGGGCCGCCCTAGACTGACATATGTCGGCCAAATAGGTCGTGTGCTGAAGAAGGGCCAAATTAAAAGTACCCGTAACCGGCGAGCATGTATGAAAAGATTGATGAATGTGGAAGAAGCGAAAGAGGTTTGTTTGAATCGAAGCATTGGGCGTTCCATTGTTTCTGCCTGCCCTAATGGGAAACAGGCGTGACAGATATGTATGTATATGTATGTACACTCTTATGTTTTTAAATATATGAAACTATTATTATTTGCATTGTTTCTTTATTAAATATTCCTTATAAGTGTATATTGCTACCAAAAGAAGACATTGTTGCATTTATCGTTAATTACTTAGAACGTATATTTATTTATGTTAAAAGGATTTTCCTTGTAATTTCTGCAAAAGCTTCTACATGGCAAATGTATAGTGTGCTGCTGTGAATTTTATTATACAGAATAAATAATGGTAGAATAATTCAACTTTAATCCATTAGGGAATCACTATCGGCATCCACTCCGGAGAAGTGGTGACTGGGGTCATTGGTCACCGTATGCCGCGATACTGTCTGTTTGGGAATACAGTGAATTTGACCAGCCGATGTGAGACTACTGGCGTGCCGGGCACTATCAACGTGAGCGAAGATACTTACAGGTAACTAATCTTATCATCTTAACTTATACTAATCATCGTCATTATCGTCATCATCTCAGCCACTATCTTCCATAAGTTATAGACCCAGATTCTTATAAGGGATAAAGAATATTTATCCCAATATAACCGACGAATCCAACTCGGCTGGGCAGCGTTTGGGAAACTACACCACATCTTCTCATCCAAAATACCTCAGAATTTGAAAACGAAGATCTTTAACCAGTGCGAGTTGCCAATGATGACAAGACTTTTATAGATTACTGTAAAATTATTTTTTTATGCAACTTAGAATGGCAAACAAGCTGACGGCCCACCTGATGGAAAGTGGTAACCGTCGCCTATAGACATGAGCAGTACCATGTACATAACAGATAGTCATTCTGATAGTATGTCAACATCATCATCATCATATCAGCCTTTAACTGTCCATTGCTAAACATAAACCTCTTCCTTGGGGAGTGTTGCCAATAGTTGCCACGTTTGGCAGGTGAATTGGCAACCGCGGTTAGACTTTGGAGATGTTTTAAGAGGGACGCTGCTGCCCATCCCTCGCCCTTCCTTAGTCGCTTCTTATGACACCCACGGGAAAGGAAGGAACGGCCTATTCTACTCGTATGCCGGGACCTACTCGACGGGATAGTATATAAATTATAAAAAAGTTGTTTTTTTATTATTATCATTAATAACAAAGAATGATTCCGTATCTATTTTAGGTTTTCACACCTATCTATTCGCTTTCTATACGTAATTAAATAAAATGAAAAATATCACATCAATAAAATTTAATCTTCACACAAATCAAGATATCTCTTCAAAGCAATCGGAATCGGAAGTTTTTGGATACCGAATGGTAGCTCAAAATTTTGCCACAACAATTCCCTCACGCAACACCTGCAAAGATGTTTCAACTCTACTGGTCTAATTCCACATCTCGAACTGGGTATTAAACGGTCCTCCAAAATTTCACCGTATTTCTCCAAAGCCATCCTCCTTTGATAATTATAATCATCAGGCAGTTCTAAATCCTCGAAAACTTGCTTATTTACTGTAAATTCCACTTTGGGTGTAGCTCGTAATATTAACTTTAGACAAGATACAAGTTCATAAGGATAGACTCTGTTATATTCTTTAAGCCTATCCAAAATGGATTCAACTGGATTTGTAGATGCTTCACTTGTGATTCTAGCTCCAAACCTTAATAAAATCATTAGCATTTCTGATAGCCCCATTTGTATGACCACTCTGACTGGGGACGCTCTTCCGCAGCTCTCTAAAGGCACGTCTATGAAACGATATGTTATATTTCCTTCGGTGTATTCAAGGCAAGCATTAGTGGCATGATCTAAAAAGAAAACCAATGCATGTACATTCTCTTCTTTATCGGCAAAATCTGATTTCCAACCAGCTAGAAAGTGAGGCGCTGACGTACCAAAGATGGCTCCTGTAAATTCATGACATTGCATTGTTTTAATATATAAGTATATAAAGATCGTAGAATATTCTGAACTACCTATTCTGACAACACTTAGTTGAGGCTTTAATTATTTATTCATTAATTTCATGGGCGTTTTAGTAAAAAGTTAAGTATTTTTTTATTATACCAGCCATTAATTGCCCACTGCTAAACATAGGTCTCCTCTAAAAGGGGGTTTTGCCACTAGTTGTCACGTTTAGCAGACTATTTATGTTTTAAAAAGGACGTTGCTACCCATCCCTCGACCATCAAATTCCCTTAGTCGCTTCTTACGATACCCATGGGTAGGCCTCCTCCATAAATTGCCATAAGGAACGGTTCTGAGCCGTCAGAGATCGTCACTTCATCTAATGGGTCCATTCTTTCTTTACTTTCCCATCGGTTGTTCTTCGAGCTATATAACCAACCCATTGCTACTTCAGTTTGCTTATCTTTCGACCTTAGACCAATAATTAGAACTAACCTAGATAGATATTTATTATAAACTGATGTGAAATAAAAACTAATATTAATTACCTAAAAATATTCTCTCGAATGTTTTCTCACATGTATAAAGTTCGTCAAGTAAAGCTGCAACGACGCCATTGTCTTGTAGGCTCCAATCAAAAGCCAATTTCATGGCAATGTACAGCAGATTATGGTACTTGCCCATAAGGCAGACATCACCGTTGTTAGTTTTGCAGTTATTGTGATACCTTAGTGCAGATAGCACGAAATTTTTGCATGTTGTATTGTCCGATACGTTTTGACCTGGAAAGAAAATTTTATATTAATTTAATTAAGGAATCGCAGGGGAACTTTGTTCTGTCAAATAAAACGACGGAAGAAAATTCAATTGATAGCAAAAAGAATAATAAATATTAGTTCAGAATTGATTATGCAATATGTATACAAAAAAGTCAGTAAAAGTGAGACCCTACTCCTTTTGGAAGTCACTTAAATATCATCTGAGTTGCCTAACTAATAATTATTACTGAAGATATCCAATTAATATAAAAATGCAAAAGTTTGTAACGAAGTATAAATGGATGTTTGTTTGTTACTTTTTTACTCGAAAACTACTGAACGGATTTGAATATTTGGTACACAGATAGATTATATCCTAACATAACATAAAGGATACTTTATATACTGATTTAAATAGGTGAAACCGCACTATACAACTATAAAATAATAAAGTCCGATAACATAAAGACTTTATGTTCAAAATAATTGCTTCAAAGTAAAAAATGAGGCTGAAAGCGTAGCACACGGTGCAGATCGAATTGTGAAAAAAAAATGTAACATAGATTAGCAAATAATCTGACGGTCTATCTGATTAAAAGTGGTAACCATCGCCTATACGAGTACACTTAAATAGCATCATGAACATCATGTAATAATGCTCATGATATCACTCATACGTCCTGAAATATAAGTATTTAAAAACCTCTAGCGCATCCTGTGATAACTGTGTTAAAATATTCGACCAATTCTCTCCTCTTGAATCTTTCGTTCAATCCGTCTCGGTCTATATTGCTAAACACCTCCTCGAAATATAAATCCATGAACGTATCCATTTGTCAAACACCACTGTTTTGTGTTATTTTATTTTAGAAATTTTAAATTTAATAATGCATATAAACAATCACTTTAAATTTTTGTTTTATTTTTATTTTTCAAAACATGTTTTTTTCTGCTCGCATTGTGTCCGTTTTGGAAATAAGTCTTAAATGATCAGCAATCAGTAGCTACTAGACACTGTGGCGGTAGTATGGAACACGTATAAGTGCATAATCGTCTTGAATTTGGTCGCCAGGAAGCCTTACAAGAGCAGGCAGTTTACAATATTTACGTCATTTTTGTTATTATATTGACGTTAGGGTTTCGTATAAATATAGTATTTTGAATAAAAAAAGTAGATATAAAAACTTTTCAGTTGATTCTAAAGTCTGTTTAAAACTTTTATTTAGAGTAAAAAGTGTGTATACATTAATGTGTATTTACAATTTTTTTTTATACAACTTAGAATGGCAAACAAGCTGACCTGATGGAAAGTGGTAACCGTCACCTATAGACACGAGCAGTACCATGGACATAACAGAGTATACTGTTTCGCCCGTGATACCCCCCATGCGTTGCCATTCCTGAAGGCTCAGGTGTTATTCCTATGTACCCAGTAAATTCACGCCATATCCCATCCTTCAAACCGAAACACAGCTATGCAAACACAACTGCTTTACGGTTGAAACACAAATGGGACAGAGGTACTGATGTATTATAATTAATCACGTAGTATCCATAAAGAATGGCATAGAAGTCAACCTGACAGAGTGTATTGCTAGAAATGTCATTAGATTCCATTACTAACATTCTTCTTCTCTACCTAAGGCCCACTTATATTTCTAATAAGAGATAATAATAACAATAAATGCTTTTAGTTTTGCAAGAGTTTGTTACATGCAATGATATTATGATAGAAGAATAATGTAAAAATGTATTCCACAAAAAACTAAACGACTTCAAACGTGGCAAAACCAGTTAGTTATTTCTTTTTAAAAACTAAACTATTCAATCAACTAAACTATTTAATGAAATTTTTAAGGACTAATCTGAAAGTACAACTTTTCAGATAAAAAGAATGGTTCAAATCGGTTTTTTAATAAAGAAGTTATGAGACAACAAACAAAAAAGATTTAACCAAATTAAAAACTATCTTCTTTTTTAAGTTTGAAAGTTTAAATATCTAAATAAAATTTCAATAAGTAATAGAATTTTTAAAATAAAAAAGATTTTGTATTTTTTTGTTCTTTTTTTACAGGGGCAAAATAGAGTCTATTCTCTTAATATTATATATTAATTTTAATGTACCTCACAAATTTCATTACATCAACTCATTCAATTTTGCAGTTACCTGATGCGCGAAGACAACCACGATGATCAATTCGAGCTGACGTACCGCGGGCACGTATCTATGAAGGGTAAAGCTGAACCCATGCAAACTTGGTTCCTCACCAGGAAGATGACCTAAGCACCTAGAAGGTCGAGGAATTCTCTAATCAATTCATCTGTACACGTTATAATAGCATTAGAACTCTTAATTATTTAAGAAAACTTTATCTAAAGTCGAAGTTAGACTAAGCAAACAAAGCATAGCTTTTCTGTTACTCCTTATCTGCTGTTTTGCACGTTTATACTAATCAAGAATATTAGCATTTTAATGTCGCATTTTCAACATTAAATCCACTGTCGCGGCTTCAGCGACACGGTTGTTTTACTGACCCAGAGCCCTTAACAATTAGATAAGCGAAACCGTCTGTGTTTATCTTATAGTGTTTATAATATGTTTATAATGTTTACATTATAATAAGTTATTGATAAGTTAATGAGTTATTGGTATCCTCTATGAGTTTTTTTTTTTTATGGGTGAAAATGGTTTGGTAACTCCGCCTGCGTTAACGGGATACGCTGGCGGAGCACTAGTAAAGGGTGATAGATGAGAATGAAAACAGGCCAGTTAGCCCATCTTGATGAATTCATCAGGAATTAACTATTATAGTTTCCAGTGAGAATCCGATTGCTAGCAATGTATACTAGCAATGGGATTCTCAGTCTCCATTACTAACAATCCCTTTCCCCCCTATCCTCTATGAGTTATTAGGCTGGAGTGGAAAGGATAAGTTTACGATGGTTCATAAAACAGTAATTTTTCAATGCTATAAAATTAAAGTATTAGGTTAAGAGATATATTTAAAAAAAATTGCACTTTGAAATCGATTCTATTGCTTTACCTGTTCGTAACAAATTTACATTTAAGTATATCTGTATACCTATTTCGTATTGATGATTCCAAAAAGAACTTTATTACATTAACACTTAATCTTAGATTATATAGATAGTGTATACTTAACATTGCTTAAAAAGAAACCCAACCTTTTCATACAATTTTGCGTGATAAATAGTTATTAGTGATTCCTTTATAACTTCTACATTTATTTTGTCTTATAATTTCTGCATCTTTTTAATGCGTAAACATTCATTTTATTTAATAAATATAAATAATACAAGTCAAGATACATTTTATGTGTAGGAATATAGAACACTGATAAAAAACAAATCAGCTAATTTGACAATTAGCGAACAAAAAATTTACCCGTTTTTAAGGCTCGATACTCTTTTTTTTTATACAACTTAGAATGGCAAACAACCAATCCACCTAGTGGAAAGTGGTAACCGTCGCCTATAGACATGAACAGTACCATGGACGTAACAGAGCGTACTGTTACGCCCATGATACCCCCCATGCATTGCCATTCCTGAGGACTCAGATATTATTCCTCTGTGCCCTGTAAATTCACGCCATATCCCACCCTTCAAAACACACACACACACACATGCAAACACAACTGTTTCACGGTAGAAACACGAATGGAACAAAGGTACCCAAGCAATCGATACTCTATGTATATAATCTAAGCACATAACCTAAAGTATACTTTAAAGTTTCGAATTAGTTTCTTATCTTAAGGAGTCATTAATAAACATTAATGTAAGTCTATTTAAAAAGTCTACATTAAATGACAGTTTATTAGAATTAATTATAATGTGATAGACTTTTACGATTAGTTTATACCACTACGCGATTACATAACTGGCTATTTAAAATTATGTATAAATAATGATTAAAAATATGTATATTCAAATTACTTACAAGATTTTCAATGGTCTATATAGTGATTTATAGATACTTTCGACTAACAGACATTAATAAGTGTAGTTAGAAGCGAAAGAAATATGTGTTTTAATATGTACAAGCCTAAAATGGCCTATTCGTAATAGTGGAATATCTATTAAAATAATATCTATTTTTCTGTCTTTTATAATCCCTAGATCTTAAAAAATCGTTTTACAGTAAAAAATTATAAAATAAAGTTACAATTTCAAGGTTATAAAAATAACTAAATTTAAAACACTGCGTAAAATCTTAAATGCCATACGATCATAAATACATATATTCATTTCTTATTTTTTTTTTATGGACCACATTTTTTCAAGTATATATTTGCATATATATGCAAGGAGTTTTGTAAATTACATTCATAATTGTCATATAATATTATAATAAAGTCAACCCAAGTCTGTACAAGCAAATTTATTTACTAAATAATAATAATAAATATCTAAGAAAGCGAAATGGGAAATTTTACCAAAGAAGAATATTATACAAAAGTCGTCTATTTGGGTATCTCTGTCCCATTAGTGTTTCTACCGTGTAACATTTGTTTGCATGGCTGTGTTTCGATGTGAAGTGTGTGTATATGGCGATGAAATTATAAAGTACAGAGCATACTCTGTTATGTCTATGGTACCTTTGATGTCTTTAAGTGATGGTTACCACTTTCCATCAGGTGGGCCGTCAGCTTGTTTGCTGTTCTAAGTAGCAAAAGGAATTGTTAAGAAGCTTGATAATTTTCCAATTCGCTTCCTTAATAAAAAGCAAAAATAAGGGTGTTGTAAGATTGACGTGTCTGTGTCTGTATGTCGCATTTAACCCCTAAAGAAATGGTCCGATTATGATGCTGTTTTTTGTTTGTAAGCTAAAGTGATCGAGATGATTCTTAGCTACAATTTATGAAGATCTGTTCAGGCTGTTTATTATGTCTCTGCTTTCTTATAATCTCTTGTAATTATGGGACTACTGCTGGTACTTATTTCATACTTTGTTATTAATTTCAGATGTCTAAGTAAATGTTCTAGTCAATATGTAGTAGGTATTTATCAAGCTTTAAATGTTTTCTTCATATATTTTATGATAAGTAAACTATATTTCATTGTTGTCAGTGAATTTACATTAATAAAGGTGTTTCAAACAAAACTTTTCTTTATTTCTACAAAAAAAAAATTATTCACAATTCCATTTTTAACTTTTTTTTATCATTTCCAAAAACTATATATATATATATATATATATATATATATATATATATATATATATATATATATATATATATATATATATATATATACATTATATTTTTTATACCACTGAGGTGGCGAACAAGCATACGGCCCACCCGATGGCAAGTGGTTACCGTAGCCTATGAACACCTGCAATACCAGAGGTATTACGCGTGCGTTGCCGACCCTGAAGAAACCTCTTTACCCCTCTTTTGAAGAACCCCATGTTGTAGTCTCTTGGGAAAACCTCGGCAGGGAGCTCATTCCACAACCTGAGTGTTCGTGGGAGGAAACATCTCTGAAACCGCGCAGTACGCGACATATATACGTAGACATATATTACGCACACACTACCTGCTGCTCGTTTTTTGCCCACCTGATGGAAAGTGGTAACCGTCGCCTATAGACATGAGCAGTATCATGAAAATAACAGAATATACTGTTTCGCTCATGATACCCCCATGCGTTGCCATTCCTGAGGACTCAGGTGTTATACCTCTGTACCCGGTAAATTCTGTTCGTTATTATTCTGGGATTGCTGGAAGAGAATTCAGAGTCATACTCACCTATTGTTCAAAATGACAGTGTAAATTTTCTATACAATTAAATTATAAATAAATAAAATTACTTATTTATACCTGGTTGTAAATCGAAAAAAAGCAATACCCTTCTCACCTCAACAGTCGGTTAACATGAGGTAAGCATGATCCGTCCGTTAGCACGCACACGATAGCAAATTTTAGTGTGGAATGTTACCGGACGACCTCCAATCCGGCTGGTGATTCAAAACCTTTTTGTACACATTTATCGGCGTCATCTTTTTAATCAACTTTAAAGAACATAAAAGCTTTCGTATTCGAAGTTTGTGTTTTTGGATTTTTACGATGTGCTAACTCTTGAACGGCGTCGCTTACGATTTCACTTGGACTTTAAGTTTCTTCAAAAAAAAGAAGGTTCTCAAATCGTCTGTATTTTTTTGTTACACGATTCCCTTTTAAAACATCACCAAAGGCTAAGTGCGTTTGCCAACCTGCCTGCCAAGCGTGGCAACTACTGGCAATATCCTTCATTATAGGGAAGACCTATGTTCAACAGAATGTAAACAGTTAATGGCTGATTTAATGATGATGATGGCATATGGCTAATGAAAATTCTAAATATTAGATATAGACAGGATATTAATGAGTGGTTTTTTTTTTATGGGTGAAAATAGTATGGTAATCCTGCCTGCGCTAACGGGATACGCTGGTGGAGTACCAGTGAAGGGTGATAGATGACAATGAAAACAGGCCAGTTAGCTCATCATGATGAATTCATCAGGAATTTACCATGATAGTTTCCAGGGGGAACCGCGAGGAGGTCGACCTGGTTGGGTATATTACTAGCAATGGGATTCTCAGTCTCCATTACTAACAATCCCTTTCCCCCCATTAATGAGTGGTTAAAACATGTTTTTCTTAATTATACAAGCAATATGCTATAAAAGTTACTGAGTAAATAATTTGTGACAGTTTTTCTTATGTAAATACTGCTATCATTAAATATGTAAGTATTTGAAAAGAAGTTACCATAAATATTAAAATTTTGCATGCCATTGTTTTGGCAAAACACGCCTGTTCCTAACATATTATTGCTAACATCTGTTTACCGTGTTTTTCAGCAAATAAATGATATTATTATTATTATTATTGCTTATTTTTGTTTTTCTTTCTCTTCTTCACATGGACGAAGGTTTACTCACCGACACGGGCCTTAACCAAGTGTAGGAGAGGCTTCAGAGTAGGAAGATGTAATAGTAGACGAGGTGAGGAATTTTCTGGTAATATGGCAGGTATTTAAGATAGTGGCCTTTTGTAACATAGTAGGTATGTTTGATTAGTGTTTATTATTATTATTATTATGTATATCGGCTTAATTATTTCTATTACATATATTATTAAAAAACAATGGAAAATTTTATTATAAAACAATTTTTCTTATACTAGGTACTAGTTGATGGAATATTAAAAATTGTAAAGTGATCCAAGTTAGTATTCAGAACAGAGATGGACAATCGATCAGATCTCTGGCGGGGTTTATTAATATTATTTTAATTTAATATATATTGAAATTTATGTATGTAATGTATGTATGTAGATGAAGATCAAAGCAATTCAAAAGCCTATCGTGACGAATTCCACAAATATTAACCACGATGGTTTCCAGGAGAATCGCGTAGAGGTTGATCCGATAGGGTATTTTTTTTGTACCACAAAGGTGGCAAATAAGCATACAGCTCGTCTGATGGTAGACGGTCACTGTAACCTATGGACACCCGTAAAACTAGGGGCGCCACGTGCGCGTTGTCGGTCCTGCTGTGTTGGTATTATAATGTAAATTTACTCTCTTTTCCGCGCTTAGCCTCTCATTTGGGCCATTGTGCGTATGAATCCAGCCAGTCCAGCTGCACCCAGAAGCACAGAAGCTTCCTGGAATCATCACAGGCCTCACAAATCGACCTTCCGAGGATTTCTAAACGTTGAAGGACCACAGCTTCACATTCCAGGATTACGTGAGCAGCCGTTTCTTCGACGTCAAAACAGCCTCGACATAGAGGGCTGTTTGTGGCTCCTATTATGTATAAATGTTTGTTTAATGGGCAATGGCCAGTTATTGACCCAATCATTATTTTAAGATTTTTTCTATCTAGATATAATAAACGTTTTGATAATCGTTGATTCAACGTTGGCACGGCCAAATTGGTATATTGGTACATTGCTAGCAATGCAACTGTTACACTTCATTATATATAGTAACTAGCTGACCCCGTAAACGTTGCTTTACCACTTACCTATTGCGAAATATAAAAATCGCAATTAAAATACAGGGGTTGATCGTAAAACGATGAAAATTTAAAGATATATGTATTTTTCAATGCTAAATTATAATAAAATAAAAATAAATTGTCAAAAAAATAAAAAATAAAATTTGGGGAGGGTCACCCTTATCATTGACGGGTATAAAAAATAGATATTGGCCGATTCTCAGACCTACCGAATATGCACACAAAGTTTGATAAAAATCAGTTAAGCCATTTCGGAGGAGTTTGGTAACAAACACCGTGACACGAGAATTTTATATATAAGATTTAAAATTATATACCTTATAGTATTTTATTGTAAGCTATTTAAATTTCACAACTTGCAGGCAACGTAAGTAGGCGTCAATGCGGTGTAGGGAAATGGA